CGACAAAATTAAAAGCCAAGTAGATGTAAGCAATGAGCGAGATGACGCGCATCGTGGGCTAAACATTGCCGAGTTGTGCACATCAGCCGTTTCGTAGCTGGGTCTAATTTGCACTGTGCATACCCAGCGCTCTCTCTCTCTCTCTCTCTCTCTCTCTCTCTCTCTCTCTCTCTCTCTCTCTTCGGAGAATGCCTGTGTACATATAATTATCACCTGTTTTAACAGCGGAACGCATCGTCCTTGTTTATCTTTCCACATCTTGTACCCTGCTGTAACTTTTCTATCTTAGTTTCAGCTGCCATCCAAAGCTACTATTAGCTGGATATTATATACGTCCTGCTTTGTAAACGTATGCGCAAATTATGTTTTTTCAGTTACGTTCTTGGTTCAGCTATGGTTGTAATTCAAGGCGAATGTCGAATAAATTTTGATATTTTGGGGACACTGAACGTAGATTTTATAGCCAAGTTAGCAATATCGGCTGAGAAAAGACGCTTTACTAAATGTCAAATTCAATTAGTAGAAAATACCATAATCATTCAAGTTGAAAAAAATAAGCTGGTAACAATGATAGTATTTTTCGTATGAAACTAAATTGCAACAAAGTTTGAGATTGACAATGAGTTATCTTTCCAGGCAAGCGGAGCTTACAACGCTCGCGTCGTCGACTTGGTGGGATTTATAAGCTAAGACTAGTAGTATGCGCACGAGAGGAAAAGAGAGGAGAGATGGCGAGTGGAGGAAGTTGAGGGCTGTGTTCATGCGCGCGACGGTCGACCGAGTGCATTCACTGAGCTTATTTGGGTCAGTTTGCCTAACTCAGACGAGTTGCCGTCTACTCTCTAAACCCTCTATCAGTTTTTTTTTCTTTTCAGCCATTTACTTGAACTTGCCTGTGCTGCTACCAAAATTCCCTGCGTGTTTATCTGTTGCGGCTTATTCCAGCCTACAATAGCCGCAGATTATTCTTCGCTGTTAGGTTTTGAATAATGTGATTTATCACAAATATCTCCTTTTTTTACATTTTCAGTATATAATGAACATTTTTAAAAGCTACAAACATTCATAAAACCACCACCGTATAGATGCATAAGAGCATAGTGGTATACACCAATATTAAGTCAGCCGAGACCGAGTAAAGTATAGTTAAATGGGGCTGGAGGGAGTGCCAGGAGGAAGGGGTTCAGCGATTTCATGCATGCATGGCTGTTCTGTTTAGAATAGATCTTGAGTTGAGTTCCATCGTGAATGCCTACTGGTCACAAAAGAGAAGTACACGCTGGGGGTGGGGGGGGGGGTAGCGAACGCAATGACTTGGATGGAAGGCAGGGCGTACGCGGTCCTCGAGTTTCGAATTCTTGCAGCTTATTGGAAAGAACGAAATTTCTCGAATTGTTCGACTAGAAAGAGCCGAGTTCTCAGAGGCAGCTGGCGTACAACGGCGACGGCAGTTAATTTACCTCTTTTTTCAGCTAAACCCAACCACTTCGGTTTAGAAAGACTGCATTCTTAAGCGATACCAATCTGATGATCAGTAAATGTATACCGCGATTGCCAATGATGTCTAATCATATGGCTTACTCTTTTGAACCGGTGAGCAAATGGGTATGAGTTGCAGCAAAGAAAGCAACGAGTGAAGATATCCGATGGAGCCATTCGACAATAAGCTAAGTGGCACCAGATATCCAGCTGCGAGCGAGAGCGCCTGATCAGCGAGTACATGGTCTTGGCATATCGCGTATCAGCGGCCAGCCGTAGAGGAAATTCCGAGGCAATCGGGCTCGCGGCACCATTGGATTCCCACCTTCGCCGTGCATAATTCGTATGTCGAGCGTACATTGCGCATTCTGCTGTCCCTCGCTGGCAGCTACGTAATGACCAGTATGCACTCTCCCCTACAACCGCACGTCTCAGCTTGATCGAATGCACCAAAGCTCGATTGAATATGCCCTCGTATATTCTCTATAAAACTTTCACTCGTGTTTTCAGAGACATTACTTTGATACATTATTTATCAATTTTATTATAATTCAGTGATTTACTTTGTAAACATTACGGTGTATAGTCAAGCAATAATTTATTTGTTATCAACTTTGAGATATTTAATAAACAATTTACTTTTTCGCGTAATAGACTAATACCATCATTGTCTTGTTGTTTGCATTGAAACAATTGAAAACAATTTTCAAAGAAAAATTGGATAGCAAATAGAATTGGTATTTGAAAACGAAACAGAAGAAAGTTGAAAAAAAAACTCGATTTAATCTAAAAATACATACGATTCAAATGGGCTGCAGTACATCCGCGCACGATGCAATTGATTTCAGTATTTGGATAGGCTGTCGAGAATCGGAAAGTTTTGGCGATTCTGTTTGTTTGAGCTTTCACGTTTTTCTTCTACCTCTCTTTTCCACGTTTTCGCACCTTGCGGTCGCTCTGTGCAGCCAAGTTTAAATTGTTTCCGAAATTGAAGATGTCACATCATTGAGTAACGTTCCGCTATTAGCCCTTCAATGTCTATCATATTTGTTACTACGAGTATATGAAATTTCGATTTATTGTGTACCACATGAACATTGATTTTAATAGGTGATCGACTTTTTCAATCAAAATTCAATTTTGAAATATATCTTTATACTCACATGCACAGAAAATTATTTTCTTTCGATCGACAGTTTCTCGATGAAAAGAAGAATGTTATTTCAATTAGAACAGTTATTAAATTTGTCTTGAGATTTATTGAGAAGTTTTTGTTTCCACGAATATGTACTTTGAATTAATGGAAATAAAAGTATCGTGTCGTCGGATTAAAGCCAAATAACAAGGATATGAATAGAAAATAACAAAAAAAGCGTAAGTTGGCTATTGAGCAAATGAGACGGCACAACACTGCGAATTATTCATTAAGAACAATAGGACCATTGTGGTCGCAAGAAATTTTAAGTACCATGATAAAAAGGTGCTTCGTTGCCGTGTCACGACGAAAAAAAGGGGAGGCTTTTTTTTTAAGCGATTCCAGAGAAAAACACTTCGCTGAGTTTCATTACTCTAAGAACTCTGGCATTTTGTAAAAATCTGTCGCAATTTAAGAATTCTTGAGGCAAGCTAGAGGCAAAGATTCAAAGTAAGTACTTCTTTACACTTTTTCATTTGAAAAAGTAGCAATATGATAAATGCTTTCATTCAACGGTATGTTTCAATGAATTTTCATGATGAATTTGTCCGTATTTATTTTTCAAATAATTCCATCATTATTATTTGTTCATAACGTGAGAAATTTCATATCAGTTATATTGTGTTGCTTCATAAACAAGTTTCAATTCGTTACAAAAAAAACAACGTTAAAAAACGATCTATTTTTCAAAGAAAGAAAATGCATTGTGAAAATATGTAACTCAGCTGGATTTCTTTATATTTGTTAATATTAAATGTAAATATGTTTTACACTGAAATAAATCTAGGCTACAAGTAGAGCTTGGTATTCATCACTACGTACAAGTATAAAAATGTATGATTTCAATGTAGGTTAAGATATCCCGGAAAAGCAACCCCAAATAAATTAGTTTAGAGCTAGCTAGGCCAAAAAAATGCCAGTGGCTAAAGTGCTCGAGTTAACGACCGTAGCCTAATTCTCAGTTGATTCAGGATGGCAGCGAAACTAAGTAAAAATAGACCCACGCTTATTATTTTGCAAGGCTGAACAATGGTATAGCAAAACAACAAAGCGGTAATATATATAAAGAAGGAAATAGTGCTCGTAGAAATAATTGGGTGACGAAAAGAGCGAGAAAAAGATGAGGGTCGAGAGAAGGCCGGCCGGAATGAAGAGTTACGGGACAGTGCGCATCGTGCCTAATCTGGATCTTCGCCCCGGGCATCACATTTATGAATACACTCTGTCTACCTCTCGCACTACTTCAATATCGCGAGCTCTAGTCCAATTGCTCCTCCAACCTACCTGCAAACCACTTCGTCGTCTTTTCTTTCCTTTTCTTATTCCTTCGGCTTATTCGTAGACTCTTCTTTTCTATAATACTCTTTTGCATCGCGTTGTACCGTGCACGCAGTAACTTATTGCAAAAGTAAACTAGCGAATTATTTCCAAGCTATTACATGTGCAAACACTGGACTAATTCTACTTGAAACAAATAATAAAGGGCAAGTTACGAATAGCATTAGAGTTAAAAGGATTGGCTTGAAATGCTCTTCAAATGAGCTGTAGCAAAAGATGCAGATTAGTTATATGTTACAAGGATATGTTTTTTTTGTATTTGATTCTAGTCAGTATTTTCAAAATTAAAATATTCCAATGATATTAAAATGTATTTAAATCAGATTCTAGAAAATCGTGGCAGGTCGCTACTAAAATAATAAGAGCTATTGAATACCGATGAGATCTTTTAGCGATAATAAATGCAATATCGTATAACTTAAAGAAATATCCTCGTTAAATTCAGCACATAAGGTATGGTTTCAAAAAGGGTATTATTAAAACTTTCGACGTTGAGCCATTCCCGGACACAATAAACAATTCTCCGTTCGAGTTTTTTGGATTTCTTGTTTCCATATGACAATCAGTTCGGGCGTAGCAATTTCGCAGCAGTCTGTCTCAATTCCTCCTCCATTGCTTGTTCTCTCGTTATCGCGGTGAGCCCGCATATGGCAGTCGATCCGTAAGAAGAGAGAACTTTAACTTGTCCTCTCTGATTGATAGCTCGACGGTGAATTCGTTCGATGGATATATTCGAACTATTCTTCAGACTGACAGCATTACGTCTCGAATTTGACTAATCTACGCGTTCTGAGATTTTCTTGAAATTTTCTCGCGAAAAATTCCTTTCAAGATTTTTCAGATAATGCAAATGCCGATAGTACACGAAAATAAGAGTGAATCCCAAAATAGGACAGTCGATGTCGCCCAGCACTTTGAGTTGATTAATCGTCTTTTGCATAGTAACATGCAGACATTTCTAATGACTGCTCGAATTGTTTGATTTCAGGTGTCGCACAAGGACTGCGCTGTTACAAATGCGGACAATACAACGAAGGGGTCGGCAGTATTACGCCTTGCATCAATTACACCGCTACACAGCTCCAGGAATGTTCGGTCAACGCGCAGTATTGCATTGTAAGTCATCACAAACGTTTCAGTCAATTATAATGGAACGTTATTGTTTTCTTGTCATTCCTAACTCTTATGTATCGCGCACTTTCGTTCAATAATAATATTTTTAACAGTGCTATTCAATCGCATACGCGTACAAAAAAAAACGCCAGATATTTTATTGTTCGGAGTATGTGTCTATTGAATAGTTTCGTAAATCTATATTGTGGACGAGAAAGGACACGAACCGACTATTGACTTTTCGGGAACCGCGAGCAAACAAAGAGAATTCCGTTAAAAGATTATAGGAACCGGAATATCCGGCAAAACGCGATCGAATAGCTTTGTGTCAAAATCTGCGAAGAGCGCGACGCATTCGTAATGACCGTTCACGAGGTGAACTTTCGCATGGGTAAAAGTTTGAAAATAACGATAAAAAAAGGTTTGACTCTTCTAAGCCATTGAATCATTCACATAATCCTATTTTTTATTGCTATTCTATATAATTTGCAAATCTTTTCCGACGTTCCTTGATAATTTTGGTTCAGCTTTACATTCTTTGAAATATCTCGTTTGAAATATTAAGACTAGTGCTCACGAGTTTACATAAATACTTGGAAATATAACCAAAGAGCTACAACTTTCGATGCTGTTTGGTTCAATAATGGAAGTGCTCGGATATAAAATTTTATACCCTACGGGTAGTTGCACTCGATATGACTCTCCTATTCGGAATACGCATGAAATTTTTAGAGCAAGCGTGTAGTAAAGGCTCCAAAAGTTTAAGAGTCGTGTTCCGGTACTTATTGAAGATTTATACACGTAAAAGGGACACGAGGTTAATGACATTTTTTAATCACAACCATCAGAAACGTGCGAACGCGTATGTAAATGGAAAAAGAACGAGCACGTATTAAAAGCATCTTTTGCAGCACTGACATTTCTGCAAGAAAAATGGGACTCTCGTGCATTGGACAATAACATATTTTACACAATATCACCGGTTACGATATTTTTGCGATGGCGATTCTTATTTTATTGAATAAAATAAAATAAGTTCGTAAGACAGGGCAGGTTTTAATTAAAAAAGTTGTACAATTAAAAATACTTCTATAAGTCACTGAAGCAGATACGAGGCACTTGCGGATTGACGTGTACTTCTGAAAAAACAAAAAGAGGAGGAAGAACAAGCGAGTTTTCGCTCGGCGATGTAGTGCCAAAAAGTTCGTGGCGAAATTGAAACAGGCGTATTCTGTACATGTGACGTGCAGGAGAGAGAAAGAGAGACGCTTTGCTAAATCGTTAATCCGCGTACAGGCGCATCAGTAACCCATGACGTCAGGCGAGCAATAAGCCCGTCATATTGGGGGAGAGCCTCCCAAAGTACAGCCACGACACGGCTCACTCGTGGCCAAGACGCATTTTGGTCGGTTGCCAGCCGCCGCTCCAAATCCTTTTCTTCATTTCCCATCCTTTCTCTATACGACTCGACGCGCGCGCGAGTGCATTAAAAATAAATCAACTCACGGCCATCCCGCGCCGGAACATCCCGATAGTCATTGCGAATCTTTGTTCTGGTAGTAGAGTGCGATTGACGCGAATTGAAAGTAACTTTATTGCTACGTCATAAAGGTTTTATCAATTGATCCCGTATTTGAGTGTGGAAAACTACGTGAATTTCAATTCTCTTCGAATCATTATTCAACTAATAACAATTACTAGACGGGAGATCACTTTGCTATTTTTATTCGCGAAAGAATGAACGTTAAAGTACGAACTGCTATAGTAACGGTCCGACATTTTTTGTTCGCAATTGTCATGCGTTTCACATTGAAAAGTCGACAGTCGCTGTGCTCGTCAGAGGCACGTGACTTTGTGGCGGAGGGTAAAAGGTAGGCGTGCAAGAAATGAGAGCTTTATCCGCGTGTGACGCGAGAAAGAGTTGAGTTGAACATGAAAGAACGAAGAAGGAATAAAAAAAGCGCTTGCGCGCAGTACACGACGCGAGAGGCCACCTAGCCACAAAGTGCAGCGGTCGACGACGCCGAAAACTGCTTGGCAATCTTTCGAGAGGAGGAATTTTAACGAACGAGTCTGTTCAAGTCACTCGAATTCATTGACTGATGCCGCGCACGCGTCTCTCACGCTTTTGGCTCGTTATATTCAGTTTGTCATGAAATTGTATACTCAATTATTGAATGATCAGTTTCCTTCTTACGAGTAATATGCAAGGAAATAACCTAAAATTATCAAGATGTATTCGTAGCTATGAATTTAGTGAAATCACTAACTGCAAAAATGACTACAATTAAGATATTCTTACAATTATAAGTATTTGAAGAAACAAGTAATGTCCTTGACAGTTCGAACCTAAGCAAATTTATTTTGGTTCAGTGTAGATTGAGAATTGTACATTCTAAATGTCAATAAAGTATCTAAAAAGCTTGCAAAATATTTTCATTTAAACCTACTAAAGCATCGGTAAAGTTGATAGTAAATTTAAGTTGCAGACAGTGTTGATTGACAAATATCTCATTTTCGGCGATTAAATGGAAGCTATATATACCCGGATAAAAAAATCGGTAGTAATATTGCGAAGCATTTAATGACGTCACGCGATAGTTGGTATTGCTATGGCTTTTACTTACTAAGGCCCTCGCCACATATGCGCATACGAGCGCGTACAAACGCGTACAAATTACTAAAAATTTTGATAGTACCAACAACAGAAAGTTACTACTATTCCTCGCATGCCCCAAACGAACACACTTACTTCCGGAACAAACGTATCATAACGCTATATTATTGAAGGTTATGATATTTGTTCCGGGAGTAAGTGTGTTCGTTTGGGGCATGCGAGGAATAGTAGTAATTTTCTGTTGTTGGCACTATCAAAATTTTTAGCGATTTGTACGCGTTTGTACGCCCTCGTACGCGCGGATATGCGCATATGTGGCGAGGGCCTAATAGTTTTGCAGTTAAAATAAGAATAAAAAGTTAAACTGTTAATAAGTTCATCAAAAGTTTATCTTAATTCAACAGAAATATTGCTATGCACGATGAATGTTAATTCAAAATAATGTAATTAATAAATTAAAACCTGTTTTTCAAACAATGTAATTAATTAAATATAAAATAAAAGTAATGAATTTTTATAAATTTCAATGATGTGAATTTGTTTCTTTCATGTACGATATAAAAACGATACGATCAATTATATGTGAGGTCTCATTGCTTGTTTTCACTTTACCAATTTTGCAATCGCAAATACCTTCATAAATATATACCAAATTAATAAATTTATAATTAACCTATCAGACATCAACCAATGTAGATTGGTTAACTAAATAACATATTTCAACGTAATGAAACATGAAACCAAATAAGGAACTAACCAATTACTAACAAAAAACAAGTCATCGAGATCTATACCTTTTAATGGATGTTGCGTCACGGTTCTATGAAATTAGAATCTTTACTTCCATTTCCAATTATTAAAATTCTTCAAAAGAAAACATAAAAAATCACATTGATTCGTCCAAAATATATGCATTTGTAACCCTATCGGAAATAATTTACGTATAAAATTATAATAAAGAGAAATCATCAGTTAGTTACATTTATTAACAATTATACAATTTATAGCCGTTCATTATTGTGAAAGCTGCTCGTATCGACTCTTGAAATTCTACTTATATATTGATCCCATAATAAACTCTCATAACCTGATATATTTAAAGGTTTGGTTCGATTACTATAACACTATTCAAAATCATATCATTGGAATAAGGTCTCTGGAAGATCTCGAAAAACATTTTTTTACACAAATTTTTCTTATTTATTAACATCAGAAAAAATACAAATATCTTCTATGGCATTTATTGGAACATTCTTACCGAAAGATAAGATAGTTTAGAAATACTTGGTTTACCAATATCTATATTAAATGATTCATTGTTAAATATTAAAGCATAATCAAAAAAAAGTCAAATTTCAAAAGATACAAAAGTATTTATTTGTGACGGAACATCGATGGAGCTCAGATATGCTTTAGAAATTATCTCGATAGAGCATTATAACATATTTTAGGTAATCGTGGGCCATTTAAAAATAACATCATGATCCTAGGAGGAGATTTCAGATAACTTCTTCCTATTTTACGTCATAGAACTCGAAATAAAACTATAAACCTTTCTATTAATTAACTATCGTCTTTCTAAAAAAAAATTCTCTTACCAAAAACATAAGTACTTTATCAATGAATATATGAGTTTGCAAAATTTATATTAGAAGTTGGTGATAGAAATCTGAATGATGATAATGATAATTTAAAAGTTCCTGAACATTGCAATGAATATATTATGAAATTGGTATTACGAAATGGAGATTTTAATGAAACATCATTACCTGAATATCAAAATTCACTTTGCCCATATTTCTGTCCATATGAATTATGTTTGTAGAAAAATTGCATCGTAATCTTGTATATTACTTTTATATTATCGATAAATACATACTTAAATTTGAAATTTATTTCTGATTAAACCATAAAAATATCTAAAACATTTATTCTACTTTACATCAAGCATAAATGTCGAAGGCGCATTTAACGCGACACCATATACACAACAATTTTCGCATGCAATGGTGCGTACAATAAATCCAATAAGGTTAGACGCGCGCGTAGCGCGCTATGAAGCTCTAGTAGTCAGAAAAAAAAGCGCAAGATGCCGTGACTCACTGATGCGATGCAAGCGGAGCGCGAAACGTAATCGTCTTGTGTGTGCCGAGAGAAAAGAGAGATGATATGGCGAAGAGGCTTCGGAGTTCAGATAGCCGGCTATACTGACTGGCTCCCTATCGCGGCCTCCTTCGTCTCTTCATTCTCCGTGAAAAAGATCCTCTATTTCTTTCGGGCCAGACTGCTGCATTTCATCCACCCTTTCGCCTCAGAAGCCCTGAAAGAGAAAAGGGCACCCGAGCCGAAAATGGAATAATAGAAGAGGCTCTCTCTCTCTCTCTGT